GACGCTTCCTTGAGCCACTGTATGAACGTCTCGCATTGATTCAGGTAAACCTTGTCAGCTTCATCCGCGCCTGCTTTCTCTTCCGCCCATCTCAAGATCGCGTCTTCTAGCAACACGTCTTTATCATACAGAAGATGCAGAATCTGAGCAAACAAAGGGCCTAACTCCCTAGCAGATTCCTGACACATCTCTTCAAATTTCATTATCACTTCTATCTGTTCATCAGTTTCCTTTACAAAGTTACCAAGAAGTCCCTTCCATTTTGTAATGATACTCGCCACGTTTTTATACAATTCACCAGGGGAGCTATGTGGAGTATCAACTGCCAGTTTCATCATAGAGTAGAATACTGCTCCAGTACAATCTGTAGATTCCATGTTGAATGACATCCGGAGTGAGCTAATCTCCAAACTTACAAGGTTCACTGCGATACCCTCCTCAACGGCCCTTAAGAAGGTACTTTCAACTTCTCTCTCAAAGTCATCGTTGGGATCATTCACATCAGTGTTAATACTATCAGCGTCAGATTTCAACTCCCCAGAAGTCGGGACAGCACTTTCGTCTTCTATGTCATCATCGTCCATGGCCTGAGTAATCTCAGCAAGTTTATCCTCGGGGATTGGTGCAACAGAATGCTTCCACTCCTCATCATGAGCTCCTTCACATACTTCCCATATGTAACCTGCTCCATCAGGTCCAAGGTCAGATGCTTTGGATTCCGTTTCCAAATGTACGCCTGCCAAAAGATCTGCAGTCCCGCTGCTACTGTCCGCATATTCCAGTTCCTCATCGCTGTCTTCCTTAGTTGGCTGTTGAAGCAACGAAACCTTTGAATACGCAGGGACAACAAATTCCCGCCCAACTACAACCTTGAAAGACAAAACAACACCAGGCTGCAGAACAGCCCCTGCTCTAATTTTCACCCCATCGCAAACAATAGCGTTCCTTATCTCACATCCATCTTCAATTGTAACATTGTTCCATATGTAGGAGCCTTCAATTACCACATTGGATCCAATAGAACATCCATTCCCAATAACCGAGTTCAAGATTTTATCCCCATTCCCAATTTTTGTGCCATATCCAATGACAGTAGACGATCCAACATCAGCTGACCGTGATTGAATAGCATCAGAAGCTCGGTATATCCCTTCTCTCCCAAGCTTTAGAGGGCGATTTCCGCTGAAATTGATATCTGGTACATACGGGTATGTCCACCTCTGGATAATATCCTTGCTAACTGTGTCATAGCTCCGGAAGTTATCGATCCTAGCAGCATAGCTCGAGTGAATCTCATGAGTGAAAATCTTGTAACCCATAATATCATCAACAAGCACACCCTTGACAAAATGACGTCGCAAATGTTGATAATCAAAGTTATCCTCAAAGAGACTAAGCACCTCAGGTGAACAAATGTCAATGTAGCAATCCTGCATATCATTGTACAACAAAACAGACGGATTACTAACCAGCAATGACTTATCTAAGCAAACGGTCCTTTTCGCATGATCGATCTTGTCATCTTCGTAATGAAGAAGCTGTTTTGTTAAAGGATCAACAGCAATGAAGAGCTGATCCGTTCCTAGTCTTGACTGATGCGTAAGTGGCGAAGGTTTCGACTTCTTAATAACCATGGTCATGATAGCTTTCTCATCTTTCTTCTTCCTCTCTCTGTGTTCTTGAATCAAATCAGCGAGTGGCATATTACTAACCGTATCACCACTAACGAGAACGAAATCACCTTGAATCTGAGAAGTCTCAGCCTGTTGTTCATAGATGTAACGCAAAGCATCTCCGGCACTGATTGATTTGTGCGATTCGATCGTTCTCACAGACATGTTTGGGTGCGAGTACCAATCGGAATTCTCAAGATATTCGATTACCTGAAACGAGTGAGCACAACAGAAGACGAAAACTTCCTCTATACCAGCAGATTCGAGCCATGCCAAGGTGTAATCAATCATCGGGACATTCACTAGCGGTAATAGTACCTTTGGTCGTTCTAGGGTTACGGGTCGGAATTTCGTGGTGAAGCTGTCGGCGAGAAGAATAGCTTGTAAACGTTGTCGACTTTGTTCCACCGAATCTTCTGAAACCCTAGCCGCTCCTTTCTTCTGAGCACCCATTT